AGGGAGGGTCGGGGGGAGGGGGGGGGGGGGGGGGGGGGGCTGTGATGTGGCCAGGCCCCGAATATGGATGAAACGTGAACTTCGCCTTTAAGCGCCAGTCATGTGTCTAAGAGCATAGGCATTTGGTCACATGACCCCGACAAAGGGGGAGGTTCCACCAACCTGAAGTCAGCTTAGATCCTTCAACAGGGATCACAAGGTCTAGAGCAGGTGTTCCCAATATTTCTGAAGCTGGAGTCCAGGCAGACAGAAGATAAAAGTGACAGATCCTCTGTGGGAGGCCCTGAACTCCTCTGTGGGGCCCCTGAACAGGCCCACACCTGTCACACAGGAAGAAGGGGGCGTGCTTACCAGTAGGTTGTCATTGACATTCAGAAAAGTCAACATTTGCAGCAGAGCTCGGACGGGAAGAAAGAGAAGACAGCAATTAAGTTTGCTGCAGTTAAACAAAAATAGCATGCTAATTGGAGGAGAGAGCGGAGTCAGGGAGAGAGAGCAGAGTCAGAGAGATGAGCTCATCAGTCTGCTGCTCCTCTTCCTCTCGCTGTCCAATCGCAGGCTGGGGGAGGGACAAGACTAAGTGCCAGTGAACTGCAGTAGAGAAAGCTCTGGTCTCCCGCCCAGCCAGACAGGGCTGTACTGGGGGGCAGAGCTGTGTGAATCTCAGGACTGGCTGGAAAGAAACACAAATCCTTAAGCAAGTTCCCAGATATGCAATTCACATGTATTTAACTCTTTAAACTGGCTGAGCCTAGGTCAGCCCCCCTCCCCCAAACCATGCATCCAACCAATGAAGCTCGACACTTGCCAGCAGCTCAGCCGGGGCTCCCAGCATGCCCTGCGAGTGTATCCGTACAGAGGCATGCTGGGACATGTAGTACTATACCGGCAGGAGTAATAGCCCGGGTACCTGACACTCGGGGCGTCCTCTGTGCGATCACCCCTCGGGCTGACTTCTATCCCGCATCGCACACCGTACAGTCCGCCCTCACCGACCGCTCTCCCGGAACGCCCACACCAACCAACCAACCAATGAGGGACGCTCGCCCGCAACAACCACCAATGAGGAAAGCTCACCTGCAACAACCACCAATGAGAGGAGCTCGCCTCCAGCCCGAACCACGAATGGGAGAACCTCGCCTACATCCCTAATCACCAATGAGGGCAGGCCGCCGCCGCTACCCCACACGTCTTAGCTCAATGCGGCTGCGCAGAAGCGGAGGCTCTGATTGGCTGGTGGATCAGGGAGGCAATTTACAAGCCTGTAAGGGGAAATGTGTGAGGTACAATGGAGGCCGCCATTGCTGACCTCCTCCTTAAAGTTAATAAAGATGCTTTGCGCCCTCAGAGCGAAATTTCTGTGCAAAAAATGTGAATTAGTTCATGATAACGGCGGCTTTCCTCTGAAGCAAAACAAAAGTTTGTAATTAGGGTGGCCACTTTTTCTTCAAGGGAAACACCAACACTAAAGCCCCATGCGTGGCAATTTTTGTTGATAATATAGAGGAGAGGCAGCCAGGGGAGGGAGTAAGGAGACCAGCTATAGAGGACTACAAATCCCAGCAACACATTACACAGCAATACAAAATAATATGAAGCTATATACTCTGTGTTGTTTCTGGGGTGGCACCCTGATGTCCCAGAGTCTCAGGTGGGCTGTGCGGACTCTCAGGTGGGCTGTGCGGACTCTCAGGAGGATGTGCGGACTCCCAGGTGGGCTTTGCAGGCTCTCAGGTGGGCTGTGCGGACTCTCAGCTGGGCTATGCAGACTCTCAGGTGGGATGTGCGGACTCCCAGATGGGTTGTGCGGACTCTCAGGTGGGCTGTGTGGACTCAGGTGGGCTTTGCAGGCTCTCAGGTGACTGTGTGGACTCTCAGGTGGGCTTTGCAGGCTCTCAGGTGGGTTATGCGGACTCTCAGGGGGGCTGTGCGGACTCTCAGGTGGGCTGTGCGGACTCTCAGGTGGGCTATGCGGACTTTTAGGTGGGCTATGTGTGCTCTCAGGTGGACTGTGCGGACTCTCAGGTGGGCTGTGCGGACTCTCAGGTGGACTGTGCGGACTCTCCGGTGGGCTGTGCGGACTCTCAGGTGGACTGTGCGGACTCTCAGGTGGGCTGTGCGGACTCTCAGGACTATTGCTCTCCCTCTGGTGTGAGCGGCGATACCCAACATGTGTTTACCGATTTACTAAAGGGTTAAATCAAATTTTGTAAAAATCCTTTAATTAAAAAATAACAAAAAACGGAATCCGCTGACGTAACTCAGGGCCAATCACAACGTCCAGCGCTGTCCACGACGACAACGCGCCGAAATTAAAAAATAAATGGAAATTAACATTTAAAAAGAGGAGGACCGCCGTCCCGTCCGCTCGCAGGGAACTCCCGCCGCACAATGTCATTTCGACAGATGCCGGCAACATATAAACAATTGGGCGGAGCTAGCAGGTGACCGCATTTGATGCGCGTTCACAAGGCGCCCATGTGTGAACGGGGAGCAAGGCTCTGTGCACGTGGGGCGATCCGGCATTCCTGCGGCAGGAACCTACGCATATGATACGACTGCATGCGGTTTGGAATGGATGATGGTCGCTGGATGCGGGATAGATGCGTCCAGCAACAGTCATCTACAGGTAGTCGCTGATACACCATTACATATGACGCGGTTGCTATGCAGTTCAAGTCCATGACAGGGTGATAGCAGCCGCATCTGAACAGGACACCCGGGGTTCCTGCCACAGGATCACCCTGCGTAAAGAACTGTTTCCCAACAGTTGGCTCCAACTCTCTCAGCTCAGCTTCCCTGAACTTCCTGTCCAGTACAAGATCACAAAGGACAGAGCAGTCCCCAGCAGCCGTCCCATCTACTAGCTTGGGGGAAGGGAGGAGCAAAAGAGTGTCTTGCCTTGGCAACGCAACGCACCTCCTGCACTGTTTATGCATAGACACGGTGTGCAAGGCTGATTCAAAACCCTGGTGGGCCCTGGGCCAAAAAACATAATAGTGCCC